ATAGTGGAAGGTGTCCCTGCCCATGGCAGGGGGTTGGAATGAGGTGATCTTTTAAGTTTCCTTCCAACCCAAACCATTCCATGATTTTATGATTCCATGAAGATCAAGAAGCAGGAGATAAGACAGCGAAGATGAGGAAGGAATGCAGAAGAATGTGGTGAGGTGGAAACAGGAAGCTCCTTTCCAAGGCTGTTTAAAATCAAGCTGAGCATGGAAAGATGGAGAAGATTGCAAGAATTTGGTTGTGATTTTTGATAATTTTTTTAACAGTTTTCAGTTTCCTAGAGGATTCCAATAATTTTAATATCCTTTTGGAACGACAAACATGCATGAATATAGCAGTTAAGTTCCTTGTTTCATGTTGTGTCCTCATGTTTGTTCCTGCCATCCCTGACATAAAAATCAGGTCCTTTGCCACCACTTCCACAATTTTACCTCTTAATTCCCAGTGAAGAAGGGAAATTCCAAGAAAATTTCCTTTTGGCCATTGCCTGGTGTGGACGCTGAATAATTTTATTTTTGCTGGAATTGTCCATTGTATCACATACTCTATACTAGTCTCCAAACACAATCCTGGGAATTTCAGGTCTGTTTCCATGATTGCAGTTTGAATAACTCCACTCACACGTTTTTGGATTTTAAGAGCCATGGTGGGATTTACATACAAAGCACGAAGCACTTGGATCAACCCTAAGAACCCTCCTCACTTCCAGCTGTATTTTCCATGTGTCCAACACAGGGAATAAGACCTTGTCAGGTGCATAAATGCCAGGAGGTGTTTTGGATAAAAATTTTGTGGGATATGAAAGCCTCATATATTTTGGAAGTGCCCCATGTCCCTCAGAGCTTTTGTGGAGATGTGAAACAGGGCGAGGAATATTAGATGCTCCATGAGTGAAATCTCAAGGGATAAAAATGGAAAAAATATCAGGCAATAGTAACCTAAAGAGTGGAAACAATGTGGATTTCTCTCTCCTGACTTCCAGTCATCCAAATGGCTCATTTTCCCTTGAAAATGGTGTTCATGGAGAAAATGGTGTATTGGCTTGCCACATTCCCTGCTCTCTGCAGGAAAATCCTGGATATGGGTGTTGAAATGGAAAATAACTTTCCTGATGTGCTTGGATAATTCCCAAGGCTCTGTTTCACTGCTGTAATGGCAGAGATGAGGAGTTTTATTCCTCATCAGGGATCCTAATTTTGGAATAGAGGACCCACCGTTGACCTGAATGACCAGCTCAGCAGGAAAGTCAGAATTCCTCATTGTCCCTCTTCTCTGGTTCAGTTCCAATGCAAGGATGGGACTCCTACTGGTCTGTAGGAGTGCTGCAAAGAGAAGCATCCGAGGTTTAGACACCCTCCAAGCTGGAAAAATCAGAGTTTTGGGGGAAATTACACTTCCCTCTGTAATTAGAAATTATTTCCAATCCCAGCTTCCAACTCCATCCTAATAGTCATTAGCCTTTCATTGGTTAAAAATGAAAAAAAAAAAAATTAATAATTTATACGACTAATAATAGTAATTCACATCCTCAAATAAACAAATTGCTGGCAAAGTGTTTTAGGAGATGCTGCAATTCCATTCTGGACTTCCTCATCTTTTTTCCCTCTGGATACCCAGGGATGGAAATGCAGTTCCTGCCTTTGGAATTCTCACAGCAATGGTGAGGGCACCACAAGTGCCACTAAATTTTCCAGAATGGTCATTTTAAGGGATAGAGAGAGGGAAAAGGAAACCCAGTGGGAAAGGATAAAGTCTTCAGGAGAAGGATTCAGGCCTGAGGAATCCATGGAGGGAAAGAGAAAGAGGAAAGGGAAAAGAGGCAGTGAGAGAACAGGTCCAGGGTGAGGAAATTGGGCAAAAAGAATGTGCTGAATTCTGTTGTGTTTTCTGCCCCTGGGCTCAGACCCACACAGCTCATTGCCTGTGATTCATCAAAAAATAGCTGGGTGGCCCTGGGATGAAGAAAATTCCTGGTGTATCCCTAATTAACTTCAGCACCTCTGACAGCTCCTCCTGACCCTGCGGGATGTATCCAACAAAATCCATCCATGCCGAGAGACCCTGGTGGGTGACAAGGAGGGAACAACGTTTTTCCATCCAGCACCCAAGGGGGGGCTGAGGATGTGGCTGGAGGTCATGGCTGATCCTGGTGCTGATGCCACAGAGCTGTGAATTCCCGTCCTGGTGCCGCTGTTCCTGCCTGTGAGGCTCATTCCCTTCCGGAAGCGGGACCGGCCGGCGCAGCCCAGCGCCAGAGCTGTCGAGAGATGAAATCAGAGCTGGCCCAGCTTGGGTTGCAGGGACGGCTTTCTGTTCCCATTAATAATTCAGGGATCCCCTGGGGGTGGGATGATGACATCATAGCCCACCCTTTTCCTATTTCTACCCTGCCTTTCCCTTCCCTCTTTCCCATCATTCCTCTGCATCCAAAGAGTTGGGGCCACCTTGGGACCATGTTGTGTTACCCTCAAAGACCACGTCTCTTAGAAATGGAATTCTCAATCCTTGTTGGCCAGAGGTTTGTCCTGCTTCAGCCACTCAGAGAAGGAGAATAAACCTTGGGAATAATCTTCTGCCTCCAGCCTTTCCCTGGGGAGTTTGGTCATTCTAAAATTGTTTTACTGATCAATGAGAGCAATTTGGTGTCATCTCTTTTTGGGAAGGATTGTAGGGAAAAAATAGAGAAAGGTCCTAGAAAAATTCCGAGTAGAAGAAAGACCTGAGTTTCACAGAGAATTGGTGAGGAAGGATCCTGCAGAGTGGAATAGTGCTGGAATTTTTTCCTGCTGGTTCATGGTGGGAATACAGGTTGTGGCTGTGGTTGTGGAGGCAGAGGTTGTCACTGTGAGGGTGACACCTGTCACCACTGAAGGAATCCTTTCCTTCAGGTTCTCCTTTTCTTCAGCCCTGGAACTCAGCCGTCCGTGCAAACAAACCTGAGGGAACACGGCTTTTTTGTGAGCATCCCCACATGGCCCCTCTTCCACAGTGAAATTCATGACTTTTGGTGTCCAAGTCCACCCTTGTGGTGATATTTGCACTATTGGAGAGAGACAAGAGTTGGAAAATATCTTGGAAGGATCCAGAGAAACTGATAGATCATGGGAAAAAAAATCCTCCTGTGTGTGGCTTGTGGAACCATTCCTGCACTTTTTGGGACACTCAGATACCCCAAGTTTACTCCTTATTTTCCTTTTTTCCTTTTTTGTTTTCCCTCTGTGCAAAGTGCATTTTTCATCTGGAATCATTCCTGGGGAGCTTTGGGATCAAGCTGGGTCAGTTCAGTCCCACCATAACCACCTGGCAGAAATTTCCACTGTGGCCAGGGGTATGGCAGCACCTCAGGCATTTTGTTACTTACTTAGAAATTCCCAACAACTGGATTTGCCGCAGGAGATGGACCTGAAGGACGGATTTGAGCCAACTCCACCATGGGTATGGGGTGTCCTCATCCCCACGTGCCCAAATCACCCATGGTTGAAGGGTGATGGGGACTTCAGTTGCTGTAATGTCTCCATTTGTGTCTTAAAAACATGGATGAGGAATTTCTCTGGATTTGCAAAAGGGTTTGGAACTTCCAATAAGCATGTTCATCCCTTCCTTCCCCGAATTTCTTTGAAGCTTTATTAAGGGAAAAAGGGCTTTTCTGGACCTCTGCCATGAAGTGTCTCTATCCCTCTTTCAACACAACCCAAAGGAATTCCCTGCAGATTCCAAACCAGCTGAACATCCTTAATCTCCTCTTATCCCATGTTATTCCTCTCCTGAGTGTTTCCTGGTTTGGAATCAGGCC